CCCCCCCCCCCCTCCCCCCCCCCCCCCCCCCCTTTGCCTTGGTTTACCCTACTCTTGAGACTTCGGTAATGGGCCTCAAGAAAGGATAAATATATATTGAAAAAATAAACTAAGGCAAGTAAAATTAGCAGACTATAGGCACAAAGCAGCTGTATGGCGTGCCGCAATAAAGTGCGTATCTGAAGGGGCTCCAATGAGAATACATGTAGAGGGGGGAACATGCAGAAGGTGAAATAAGTATCTTTACTGGTGCTAAAAAAACACTACAAGATAGACTTTAAGTTTGACAAGCTTAACATTTTAGTGGCAGAGTTAAAATGGGTTGTATGCATCTACTGTTGTACCAATAACTTAATGTGCAGCCATTATCTTTCTAGCATGCGAAGGATCTGTCCTTTTGCAGGGTGGAAACTTGAGCTGTGGAGACTATGATGGCCGAACTCCACTTCATATTGCAGCCTCTGAAGGGCACTTACCATTGGTTGAGTATTTGTTGACATCTGGTGCAACTGTTTATGCTAGAGACAGATATGGATCTACCCCACTGATGGATGCGATCAAGTTCAGGTAACAAAATTAATTTATACACCCCTGTATATAGAGTTTATAAACCTTCTATCATTTTGGATTTGAAGTCCATCCCTGTGGTTTGGTCTTGTTTTGTCTCAGCATTCGTGTGTAAATGACAGCAGTTAAAATAACACAAACACATCATTTCAAAGGATATGACTAGCCTAAATCAAAAGATTTTTTAAAATAACATGAAATGAAGGCAAACAACTTGGTATGCATGCAGAATTTTAACATAAGATAACTTATTGCTGCCTTCCTGCCTAGACTTGGTCCATAATATCAGTACTCCACTCTTTGTTATGAGGCTTCCTTATAAAACAGAGCCAAACTGATCACTCCTTTTGACTGTCGGAAGTGAGAATGCAGGACCAAGGGCTGCCTGTTTTCTTTCTGCCCTCCCCTTTCTCATCCAGACCAGACTGTTTCAGTTGGCACAGAATATACCGGTAGGTTGACATGTTTTAATCTTTCCCTTCCACCAGTGCTTTCCTGAGTGTCTTGCCGGATGACTGTTTTTTTAATTTTTCCCTTCCGCCCACTCATAATTATATGGGATGGCTGCATGGCTCTGCCTGCTTGTGGATTTCCTCTTCCTGTTGTTCTGGATGTCAGCAGTTCTTGAATGGTAGTTATGCATGTGCAATTTACTGGTCTTTTCCATGTTGTATAGTCCTAAGGAATGGCCATAGCACCGAATATAAAAGTTATCAGTTATCAAAATTTAATTTTAAAACGCTTAGTTTATATAGCCTTGGGGATTCATAGAGCCATTGGTCTTCTAACGTGTTAGAAGCTGCTTGCCCTAATCTCTTCTTGTTTCTTTGATCCACTTTCAGCTCCTTATCTCATATTCAGTCTGTATGATGGCAGGAGAGAAGCTTTTTTCTGTAAAGGAGCTTGGAGTGATAATATTTTCATGGTCTTCATGGATGTCTGTCCCCAAATATTCCTACAGCTTTCTAATGTTAAGTTCACCTGGTCTGTCAGGCTGGAGTTACCTCTGTGGGAGGTCTGACAGTCCTGGTTTTGCATTTGCTGCAGGAATATCTTGAAGGCTTTTTCGGTGTCAAAGACCAGATGTAGAAAACTTAGCAAGCTCTATTAACTTGAGACTTAAGGTCCTGTGTGGCCACACTGTGCTATTGCCATATCTACTGCATGGTCCTCTATGGCTTTGTAGTTGTTGCTTTATCTCATGAATATGTAAGCCCTTCAGTGGCAAACCCTTAAAGTCTTAAAGCAAAAACAAGCCCAACAGCAAATCAAACAAATAACCTCGCGGTTGAATAGAGGTGGCTCTGGTCCAATGTGAGAAAATGCTAAAGCATTAGATACCATTAGATGTTCCTGCAAATCAGGCACCTACTTTTTTTACCGCACCCATCTACCGCCTGAGGAATTTCACATGAGCTTGTTGTTTGGATTCCTTAGCATTGCCACTCCTATATTAGACTCCTACCATGACTCTTAAGCTCTTTAAAACTGCACACCCATTTTGATATAGGGAATTGTAAAAGGAAACTGCACCATAACCATTTTCAGTTTCTCTTTTTGTTTCTACTGTTTGAATGAGAGGAAGAGTTGACTTAGAACTAATCTCATAAATGTGTATTTATGATCTCCTGTGTACTCACACTGCATTTCACGCTGATAAGCATATAAAGGAGAATGGTAAAGACCAGACAGCTGTATATGTGTGTCATTAGATACCCACTAAAAAGATTTCTGCTACAGAAATATTTAAATTCTATTTATTAAACACTTGCATGCTGAAAGTGAACAGATTATCCTGATGCAGTGTACAAAGTTGCAGAGAGGGAAGGGGGAAAACTGATCTTAATGAGCAGTCAATGCTTTAAACTGTTTAATATTGTAACTTCCTCAATTTTACTGAATATTGCATCAGCTTAATCCCATTTTCTGAGAATTAGTATTTGTTTAATTGCCATTTAACTGCAGTACAGTATCCACTCATCTTAAAAATAGCTTTCTTCCAGTCTTTCTGTCACATTTCTCGGTGGCTTGCCTTTTAACCTAGCATGCAAACCTATATAATGATGATAGATTTCTCTTTTCCATTTAATAATTTGTAAAGATGATCAGGAGTAATGTCTCTTCTTAAAAGCTTCTTAACATAGCACTGTCAGCTGGTAGACCAGCAACTTGATCTATATCAATGATAGTCTTTTAAATTTTTTTACTTTAAGTGACACTTTCTTTGTTTCTTTAGATGGAAAAATGTGGAGTCCCTTTCTAAATAAGAAATAAACTACTGTATTTCCGCTTTTTCATTTGTAGCTCTGCAATTTGTGTGTAGTCTCATTCACTTTATGCATGAAGCTGAACAGACCACTGTTAATTTAGGCCAGTTGCTTGATCAAAATTAGTAGCATTCCTTTAATTTCTTAGAGTACCCTCAAGGGATAATTCATTTTCAAAACAATAGAATAATATTTTTTAATGACAGAAACTCTCTAAGCAGGAAAATGTCTTGAATAAAAATTGTGTATATTTTATGTAGTAAAAGCACTTCCATTTACTTGTAGAGCAGTGGTAAAAGGTTGAAAATGGGGAGTTGCTCATACGGTGCTGTGAGAACATCAGATTAGAGGTAGTAAAATTACCTCCCACATAAATAAGAATTTAAATACTTGATATTTTGCAAGGTTACATTTACATTACTTCAGGAAATCTAAGGCAGAGTGAAAATCTAACTACCACTGACTTCAGAAGTGCACTGAAGCCCATCCTTACAGTATTTGAGCATAAAATTCCCACTGATACCATGCAGAAAACCAAACAAGTGAAACTAAGCTGATTCTGCCATAACCATTCCAGTTGCTAGGGGAGCAAGCATTAAAAAGAATGAAGCCAGTCAAGTTTGGATATACATTACACCTGCATTTCTTTAAAGAGAGTTGGTGGAAGGTGTGCACCCTAAGGCCCCAATCCTGCAAACTCTTACATGCGTGTTAATTTCACATGTGTGATTCATCCCTTTTGAAGTTGATTCACTTTTAATAAGTGTCTGCCAAGTCAAGGCCTAAGATGATACGTACTGTATGGCACCTTGATTGCTGTGAATCCAGAACTCTCGTGAACTGGTAAAAGTCTTTATCTGGAACTCAAACTTTGCTCATAGCAGTGAATGTTGAAGACCACACTGAATCATTTATTTTGCTATTAATCATTTAAAGTATTAGTATACATTGGGGGTTTTATCTCCAGCCTTATCAGTTATGGAATCTAGCGGGGAGGAGACACTAGGAATACTTCTTGTCTATTTGTTTTTTCTTTCAGAGAGCAGATGAATGACAGTGGTAATATCAAAAGGCTAACTTAAGTAACATATGCAAAATAGCATTGTTTGTATAGCCTATATCTGACCAAGAGCTACAGTTTGTTAATGGAGTGCACTAGGAAAAGGGGGAGTCATGAACAGTTCACAGGTGACAATAGCTCCTCATGGTTTTGCTTATCAGATGGAGCTAGACTGGACAAGCAGCTGTGCATCCCAGACTAACATGGTGATGTTGGCATTCCCTCTGTATCTTGAACTTTCATTGTCCAGCAGTTGCTCTGTTCTTTGGTTTTGTGCTGTCACCTTAGAACGGGAATTGCATTTAAACCGTTCCCAAGAAGTTCATGGCTCATGACATCAGCTGAACTTCAGATCAGCTAAACTGTGACCCTTGTGAGGCTTTTGTAAAGCTGCAGGAGACCGGCACTTAAAGAAACAACTTCTGAAGACAAATACCTCTCATGTGCCTAAGACATAACAGTATCAGAAAATTCACCGCCAGCCTCTTGAAATATGAATAATGCTCTTGTGGTAGGTACAAGACAGCAGAAGTGGTACACTGGATAGGGCTTAAGTTTCTGCAGAATGTAGATACTGTTTGGGTGCAAGTAGGAACAAGCTGTAGTGCAACTTAACCTCCCGCATAGTTTTTATGTTGAGTGATGGGAATGTGAGAAGGTAGTCAGTTTGCTTTCTTGGATGAATCTGCTCTTCATAGTCACAGTACTAAATTTAACACTTTTAAGTTGCATGTTACTAATTGTCCCTATTCTTCCTCTCCCTTACCCTTTCCTTAACAAGCAGTGGTATACAACACTTCCTCTTCCTCCCACCATACTGACAAACATGATTTTGAACGATTCCCAGTCATCAGGACACTGTACTTCTATTTAGAACTGTTTTATTGTAAGCATTTATTGTAAACACTGTTCGTTTCAATGCTTAAAGTTTTATTTTATTTCAAACCACTTTTTTTTTCCTCATTTAAATTTGCTGTATTAAACACATGGGTAAATGCCCCCAAATCTGTCTCTATCAAAGATTTATAGAGTCCCACTCAGAGTAGTAATGGCTGTGCGGCACAGGTGGGACACAAAGTCCTTTCTGGAGGGAATCTCGCTACCAGTGAGGAGTAAATAGTTACAATAGGGGAAAAGAAAAGCCTTGCTCTTCCCTGGAATCCAGAGATATGGACTTCATAGAGGGGAGCACATTGAGGGAAGATACCACACAACATTATGTGCTTTACTGCCTTTTAGTGCTGTCCCATAGCATAGCTTTTAGTTTAAAAAGCACTAGTTTCATGCTGTGATTTCGACTATAAGATGGGAAATGAGGAATACTCCAGGGCAGTCGTTGGACAGTAAGCACACGGTCCCTATGTTCAGTTCTGTACCCAATGTGAGCCTGAGTGAACAAACATGTTCTACTTTAATCTATTTTAGGTCAAATTTCTTTTCAGCTAACTACTGTTCTAATTAAGACTGAACTAAAAATTCCATACATGTAGAATTCATTCTTCACCACAGATTGAAAAATGGGAATCCATGCCTTTATTTGCTGGCTCAAGGAGATGCTTGTGGATGACTAGCCATGCCGTAAGGGACCCACCTGAGAAAATATTTTAGATAACTGAAAAAACTTGTGGCATGTGCTGTTCCAGCAATGCTCTGCCATGAAACAGAAAGATTTTTTTGAGGCTGTCAATTGAAACAAAGTACAATTTAAAAAAAAAAAATCTGTCTGGTAGGTTAAATAACCTATTTTTGGAAAAGCAAAATGATTCCTATAGCATCTCTACAGTTCTTTGTTTAGATTATAAATTAAGATCTTACATGAAACATAAACTTATATAGGCTTAATATGGATAACTGCAAAGTAACTTCTCATTCAAGATGGAATTTCCTAAAAAGAGGCAGAGGAATTAGATAAGCAGTTTAGTCCAGTTCTAAAATGGAAAGGCCCATGGCTACTTCCAAGAAAATGCAAGTGATTAAGCAGAAAGTGTATGTGATCTTATTTTTTTATTTTTAATTACTACAGATGAGGTTTTAGGTACTGGGTTGGGAAAGCCCATATATTTCCTATTACAATGATATGCCTAACTCTTTATTTTGAAGTGTTATGGTATAGCAACTTACTTAAAAGAGGAACTATGCAACTATTCCTGATCTACTGGTGTCATCATGCTCTTTCCCGAGAAAAAAAAACTGTGTTTGGATTTGTAAACTAGATCATTTGTTTAGCAGAGGAGCACACTGTCACCTCCTTTTTGAACCTAGTTCTAAGCCTTTCACTTGGTCACTTGTGAAAAACATATTTTGCACATTTTTCATCTGTCATGTTATTTTCTACCCACAACAGTACCTTTAGGGACTGGCCTTTTCCATAGACTTTCTCAAGCTTCTGGCTAAGGTATAGGAGTTGGCTGGTAGTGCTTAAGTATCTGTGTGTTCCTTTAGCTCAAAGGAAAGGACAAGGAAGACGTCCTAAAGACTCCGGGTGGAAATAAATAATAAAGGTATTGGGAGGAAGTGGTTAGGAAAAGATGTGCTTTTGTGGGACATTCATAAGAATACTTACCATAATTTTGAAGCCCTGAAAAGCTGATTAGCTTCTACATTAACCTAAAGATTCATAGCTTATCTCCAAGACATAAGTTTTATTTAAGACTGATATATATGGGCATTATATTCTGTAAAATACAGGAATGATGCTATGTAATAAATGTCCTCACTGTTTGTGTGTATTTCAATCACTGATATTTCAAGCGTTAAATTAAGCTAGCACTAAGGTAAAGAAAATAAAAATTCTTTTAAGAGAAAGGGATGCATCCCTTCCATTTTCAGAGCTGAACTTACCACTTCCATGAGCTTAGCGTGTGAATGATTTTTTGATAGGGAGGGCAGATCTGTTTACTATATCTGTCACCTTGGAGAAGATTCATTGGTTCTGTGATGGTGGCAAATATCGTATAAGAACTTTCACTGACTGTGTATATGAGTAATGCTGGATTTAGGAGAAGAAAAACCTACTGGTCAAGACACTTTCTCTGTTTTTTCTATTCCTTTCATAAAGGCACGTACAAGTGATTAATTTGTTACGAGAAACGGGAGCACACCTTTCAGGCCATGACTTGGAGAACATTGGAACAATACTCTGCAGGTAAATGTGATAAGGTGAGGTGGCTCTAAAATCGGGATGGAGGGGGATGGTTTTTCAGAAGAGACTTGTAGAATTTAGAACAGTGCATAGACGACTTCCAAGAAACAGTTGGGTCCCTGGCACATGACGTGGCTACTTCTGTGCTAGACTAATAATGAGGAAAACAGTGTAGAGATGAAATTAAGAATCAATTCTGTGTTGGAGCACCAGTAACTCAAGAGAGCTTCAAAGTAGGGAGTATTGTGGGGATAAGTGAACTAGAAGCAAACATAGCTTATTTTTTCCAAGCACTTTCACTGAGGAAGGGTGGGGAGGAAGCTGTGAAAGGTATCATTTAATAGCATCTCTATTTGAGAATAAAGCTGCACATATTTTTATTTCTTAAAATCCACTTTTCACTTCTATGGGAATGGCTTCTACTCTAACTAGCATATGACATCGTTCTTAAAAATAACTAAATGAAATAGACAGATAGGTTTAACCCCAAAACTTTTGAACAATTGCTCACCATCTCTATATTTAATTTTAAGAGCATGTAATACTCTGCTAAAGCTGTTTTTCCGTATAGTTGCTTTTAATATATAAGGTGGTTTAATGATATGGATATATATTATGAAAAGAAATAGATGCTTGATTTTATTTTTTCCAGTACTGGTCCTGAATTACAAATTACTCTGAAAATTGTGATAAGGTTTCATGTATTTCCTAAAATTACTTACTGTTTTTACTTCATTTCTTCTTCTCTTCTTCTCAAAAACAAACCAAAAAAAACCCCCAAGTACCAGCCTTTATATCAGGACTTGGCAGGAAACCATGAGACTTGTAGGGACCAGCCAGTGCTGTATATTGCCTACAAAACAAGGTCAAGGTAAAGCTTATGTGTGTTCTGTATAGAGACTGGACTCTGTCCTTTGAGTAGTTCCGGAATCAAGAAATACTAGCTGGAGTGTTTCCATTGTCATAACACGGTCAGAGGAGACTGGGTAGTAAGTCTTTTACCATGACGTTTCCCAGGGCACTGCAAGTGATAGGACAGAACTAAACCCTTGGTTTGCGTAGTTTCCATCTGCCAAGAAGGCAAGGGGCGTGGCTTAGGGAATGACATTCCTCTGCAAATTAATTGGCCCCTTATTTAGCCCTGGTGCCACATGCAGAACCAGTTTGGCTACCTGACCTGGGAGTAGTATGTCAAAAAAAAAAAAGGGGGGGGGGGAGAGAACAAGGGTCCTTTAAACAAAATGTGGTTCTAATGCAGTTTGTTACAGCATTTTAAGGAATATCGTACACGCTGCATCTGTATTACACGATCTCCTGATGTTCAAAGCGGATATTTTGATAATAAACATTTAAGATATTGTGAACTTGCATTGATGGTAATAAGTTTAGTATAAAACCAATGTAGATCTTCCAAACAGAGGGCAGGAACGCACGCGCATGCAGAGGCTGACCGAGGACTTGGCGCAGAGTGGCGTACTTGGGGTGAGAGGGGAAGAGGTTCTCCCACCTCGGTGCGGGTCAGGAGCCAGGGCTGTGGTTCTCTCCCGGCCGGCAGCTGGAGCAGCAGCCGCGGCCAGAGGCATGCCCACTGACAGACATCCTGCGTGCCCCATGCCAGGAGCACAGCCAGCCTGAGGCAGCAGTCAGGCTTCGAGACAGCGCTGAAGTGTCTGTGAGCGGTGGCTCTTCCTTACACTGCTCCTGCAGAGCTGAAGGGCTTTCTTTCCTCTAGCTGTTTTAGAGGGCCTGGCATAGTCTTTCGCACCAAAGCGGACTTTTTTCCACAGAGCATTATTCAGGTGCCTACAAGTTATTAAATCGGAGGTACTGGTGTTTGTCCTCCTGCCAAAATGTCTCAGATACTTCTTCAGGAGTATCCTCAGATGACCTGACCGATACACTCGTTTTTCCAGCATGCTCGGGCTCACTTCTCAGTCCTACCTCTTACCTCCTCCTTTTAAGCCGCCTTTTTGCAGGCACTGGCACCTTCACGGTAGTCAACGTGTTCATGTGGTCAAGCTGCTTATAGAACAAGCTGTTGATAACATCTTCCCTCTGCCTAATTCAAACTATTTTCCTACATATCTTCTATCTTGTAATGTGCCTTAAGCTGCAATTTGTACCATTTTGAATTTGTCACCAAGGCTGTATGTCAACTTCTTGGGGTTTAGAAGGACAAAGCTGCTTGCTTTCTGATAAGCTCTGGGTTCCTGCCCATAGCTAACTTAACCTTTTTCTTCCATAGAGTTCTCTCTGAATTAGAAGCTGTAATCATGTTTCCCCCCTTGCTCCTTACCTATCCTCAAACAAACTGGCTTTCATAGAACACAAAAATCACTGTTCGTGGTCTTTTCATACTGTCTCCTCAGCTTCCTTGTGTTTAGACTCATGATTTTAGAACAGAATAGAATAGTTCAGTTGGAAGATTTTGGAGATAAAATAAAAATAAATGTGCTCCTTTGGCATTGGTGATGTTTGAGAGGGAAAGGAGTACCAACCAGAACTGAGAGCTGGACGGTATCAGTGGGAACTCTTGTGTAGGAAGTGGAGATGCACATAGGTGCAGACAGGATGATCTAGTTATTAAATCTTTCATGGTTTCATTTGCTGTTTCTTTTTCTCAGTGAGAGGGTTTAGTCTGATTTTTAGAATCTCTTTATTGATGTTTGGTATCTGGTTCCTGTCTTTGTTTTGAAATGAGAAGGAGATCTCAATGTTAGTAATCTGTTAAAAATGCCAGAATCTCATCTCATCTCATATTGCAGTAGTATTGTCATCTGTCTGCAAAACCAAACCATGATGAGATAAATTGGGACACTCAGACTTATTCTGAAGGCTTGTCAAGTTCTGGAGTTGGTAAACAGTTGCTTTGTGTTTGTTTTTTAAAGGAAAAAAGCCTGTATAGAGATACTCTGTTCAAGTCTGTACTACACAAAATTAAATAGGGGCATAAAGTCAAACCAACTTTCTCTTTAATATTCTTAGATTTCATTAAATGATATAATATACAAGGTTGCAGCCTTTCAAAATCGGCAACTTTCAGAATAAGATGCCTCTTCAATTTAACATAAACTTGGGGGGTAAGGCTGGGGGAGGAAAGATAAATATGCCTCTGCGGGAATTAGGACCAAGCTTCTAATGCCTGCTATCTTTCAAAGTCTGTTTTTCTCAACTGAGAGAGATGTGGAGATACTAGCTAAGAGCAGCACTCCCAAATGTGTTCAGGATAGAACAAACTGTGCCTTAAGCTGGACTTTTAACTTGCTTTTTGAGGATCTGAATTTAAAAAAAAGGGAAGAAAAAAAATATTTTTCTCTTCTGCCACGGTGATGATATACCTAAGGGGGAAAAAAAAAAAAAAAAAGGAACTTTTTCCTGATCGCTTTATGTAGGCACTGAAAAAGGAGAATTGCTGAAAAAACAGAGCTTCATGTCCCTGGGAAAGATGAAATCCTAGTACCTGAGGAAGCAGGAGGGAACCCCAAGGTGTCATTTCACTGTACTCACTACTTCCTAGATCCAGAACTGCATTTGCCCTTATCCTTTGTCATGGTTGTAGCACCATACCAGCTACTAGGAAGACAGTTAACTCTATCCTAGCTAAAACTAGGACATCTTTCTAAACCCTCTGAGACCTGAGCAGCTTCGCTCCTGGTACCTTGACAGTAACAGAGCACCCCTTAAACAGCAGCTCCTGTTAACTGAGTTAGCTTGATGCTAGTGTGACGGGAGGCACAAAATCAGAGACCATAATTGTATTATCGCTATTCTTGATATCTTAGCTCTGTCATCATCGTGGCTACATTAGCCATGCTGAAACTGTGAAATGGGTATGTAATCATTTTTTCTATATGTAAGAGTATTGATAGGCAGCATACCTGGGATTATCTGCTATAAAAGGTATCAGTAAGAGTTTAGTAAAATGTGTGAAGTAGTTCTTTGTCAACAAAGCAGGTTTTGAACATCCCGATAAATGTATATTGAAGTTCTTTTTATTCCATTTCATGATACAGAAATGATGGGGTTGCTGCTTAGACGATGCGCTTGTAGCTGGAGTTGCTGGCATAAATACCTTTGAAAAAAATACAGAGCAAAGGTCCCTATAGTGTATGTTGAGAAGTCCTGTGTATATATTTGACTATATGGAGTATGCTTACAGTGTGTAAAGGAAATACAGATGCGTATGGCTTGGCTACAGTGATCTGGAATTGAAGAAAATGTTTTGTGGTGTTCTTGATTATAATCAATTTAGTGAATAGTACGTATCTTCTATTTAGAGTGGTATCTACATTTTCTTGCAAGCTACATCACTTTTTGTTCTCTGGGTCATAGTCTCCGTAGAATACATTTCTCACTTGATCAGTAAATGGCTGCTGCAAAATTGAAGATACTTCTGTGTATTTGGATTGCTCTAATGTCACCAAAGGAGACCACTTCACAGATTCGACCTCTGGCAATGTGGGTTAAATTGCTCTTTATGAACAGGTGCTATTAGGCAGTTACTTTTCAAGTAAGTGCAGTAGTCCTTGTTTGTTGCTTACAGTGATGCTAGCTGAATTTCCCTGGGTATGTAGGTTGGTAATATTTCTAAATTTGCTGGTCTTTGCCCAAAATGGTTTCCGCTTTGCACGCAGCTGAACAGTGTTTGGAAAATACAGTGTTCTCCTGTCCAGTGTTGGAGATGCTTCTAACTCTTACTTGCTAGGCAGGCTGTCTTTTGTTTGTCCCTTAATTCTGGGACCTTCCAGTGCCAACAGCAAGAGACTTGTCTTTGTAAATAAAGATAATTCTTGTGTTCCAGAAGTGGCTGCTAAGCAATTTCTTCTCTGCTTTACTAATGCTTACACTTTTTCTTTATTACTGTTTACTTTTTCCTGCAGTTTTGTTAAGGACTTCCCACTGAGCTTCCTGTTAGACTTCCTTTGCCTTCCTCTGATTCCTTATTGTTTCTGAGGGGCCTCTTTTTGTGATGGCATTTTTCATTAATGATTTATTGATCCTTTTCTTCATGATGTCACACTGAAGCACTGTTAAACCTCATAGCACCCCACTGCCACTTCCCTGTCCCGCAAAGGCCCGAGCCGTAGGTCTTCTGCCCTGTCTCAGGATTGGTGGGATTGCATGGAGGAACACAGAGACAGTTTCTTTCCCTTTTTGTGCCTAGTCCTTGGGACTGCTGCAAGCAAAAGCCTCTCTCTGACTTTCTCCTCAGACTGCTGCAATTAGAGGCTTCCACTCCCCTGAAAACATTTTTTCAGGTACTTAAGAGATTTAATCAACAACAGAAGTGATTTCAGCCTAGCAGAGAAGTGAATGTTGCAGTCCTGCTTTCACGGTTTTTTCCATAAACTTACCTGACTGTCTGCCCCTTGCACCTTCCAGCCTTCTCCACTCTCCACCAGGTCTGCCTGCCTTGGTTTTCATACCCAAGAGCCCGTCACCATCCTCCATCCCTGCTGCCAGCAGCTTGCCTTTCCCCCACAGTGAGCACTGTTTAGGGCAGCAAACTCTGAACTTAAGTTTGGGGAGGGTTCCCCCTCTCTTATAATGAGATTCAACCTCACTTGATGATTATCGGCGTGGTTCTGCTGAAACAATCTGTGAGCGCACGGCAAGCTCGGGTCTGAAGCCTGACAGATGTTGGTATCTTGAGAAAACTGAAGGTAGTTGTTCAGCCTGTTCACAGGCTTGGTACAGACGATCATGCTTTTGCATATGTACAGGCTGCTAGCCCTTCTTTTACCAAAATAAAAGTCAAAAATGAACATTAAGTATTATGGACGAGACTATCAGCAGATGTGCAAAGAAACAGTCTGGTGTACGTTCCTCTGAAAACTTTAACTTGCTTATTTGTATATGATTCATTTTGATCTTGCTATTGCTTGTTATACATGGCAGATAGAGGTCATCTTTAAAAAGCTTTTTTTTTTTTGTTTGCTGCCCTTTTAAATCTTACACATTATCTTATAAAACTCAAAAAAATGTAGCTGTTACTGTCCAAATGATATCACGTAAATATGCTGTCATAACTTCTGATAGCAAACATAGTTACACAAACTTGTGAAGGGGGTTTCCTAATGGTTTTAAATAGGGCACGCTGACTGCTAGAACATCTGCTTGTGCTCTCACTTACTCAGCTGCATCTTGATTTAGCTATTGCCCTCCCCCCAACTCATTTCATGAGATAAATATTATGTTGTGAAATATGAAACTGCATGACTTTTTTTCCCCTTTGGTCACAGTCACACCCACTATGTGAAACTAACCTGTTGTAAGTACTTATAGCACAGCCCTATTAATTTAAGGAACTGATTCATCAAGCTGTGTTGCTTGCTCAGCTATTCAAAGTTGTTGTAATAGTGTTCCTTTACTTACCTCTCTACCCTGGCAGCCATGTTGAGCCTGTTCTGGTTCAGCATTTGGCTGCTGAGCTAATTGACAGGACCGAGGAGCACACTGAAATGGACTGAAAGATTTAGAACCAATATTAATTATTTTTTTTTCCAGCCTTACAGCTAAAGGCGATGTGGATGGGCTGTATGCCTGGTACCTAGCTGGTGCAGACCTGAAGCAAACTGGTTATGATGGCAGGAATCCCTTAGAAGTAGTAAGTGTGCATACGGCTGTACTCTGTATGATATACTAGCTGTGTGAGTAATAACGCACGCTGTTGGATAATATTAGTTTGGGAAAAGTAAATGCTGCTTTGGGGACTATAAACCAGATTAGAGTTTGTTACAAACTCAAGTCTGGTGCTGTTCTGAAGTAATAAATTGTTGGAGCCAGAATTTTTTCATCTATGTCAGAGGAATTAAAATTTAAATTGGATTTTAATTATTTTGTGGTAACATACTCTTACTTCCCACAAGTAAGTATTTGCATGTCCTGGTGCACAGGATGGCAGGATTTATTCATGTTTCTACTTACAGGCGGAGGCTACAGGGCTTAAGGACGTTCTTGACTTCTTTAGACAAAAGCAGTAAAGAAGGTAAAATCTCATTTTCAAGTGCTAGATTTCTGAAATGTCTGGATCAGCATACACATGTATGAAGTGGGATTTTGTATTTAAGCCCTAGTTCATCCTGGGGCATCTGGGTTCAGCTGCTGTCCCTGCCTTAGTTTCTGATAAGACTCTGAGCACTTTAATCCTTCTTCGTAGAGCAGGGCTGATGTTTATTCCTCTTTCTGCCTGAGCCTGGAAGTGCTTTTTTATGGTGCGTTCCACAGCGTGGTTCTGAACTTGGTTGGGAATGTAAAAGCTACTAAAATAAAACCACTGAGGGCAACAATGTCTTGTTCCGTTGGCCTGTTGCAATAAATTGCTCCTCTCTCTTGCTTGCATTAGAGAGGAAATGCCTTTTATCAGGCGCTTTGCCAGGCCTGGTTTTCAGGGTGCTGTGCCCACAGCACCGGAGCGTACCCTTCTCCAGTAGAGCTGTGAGGCAATCGCAGCCATTCGGCCGCATAGCCTCCCACTCGGGAGGTGCTGCTGCCGTACCTACAGCGTTTCCACCTGTGCTCTCCCTCTAGCTTTTAATGGAACACCTTACACCAGCCCATCTTCTAGTGAAGCATAGTCAACCACCACAGCAAACGTGGGGCAGATTCTTAACAGACAGGAGTTAGTTGTACTACACACGTAGGCTGCAGAAGGCTCCCTTTCTGCAGAGAGCTCTGCCGAGGGCTTCATCCCGCTCCGGGCACGGCACAGGGTGGTGCCGTGGCCTCCCTCTTACTCGGACCTTAGATGTAGCTGCCTGGTTCTCTCTGACACGGACTCCCAGCATGAATCTCTTCTGTGCTGCTAACGTACGAGGTGTGTTTCCCTAGCTGTGTGCGTGTGAGGCGGGTGTGAGCCTCGTGTTCAAAGCATCAGATCTGACAAGTCTCTCTATAAGAAACTCGTTTGGGCGTTTGACCTTCTCCGGTGCTCTGCTGTAACTGGAGACATTTAAAACACTTCCCATTAATTTCTCAGAACTCCTTTCTGATGCGATACATTGTTGATTTAGGTATCTCTTCTCCAATATATTGGCAAGTCTAATCCCAATTTAAATATTGGGAGGAGATGATATCCTTTAATAAAATTAACACAAAATTTAGTTAAAGGTTTTGCTGCATCCATGGCTACCTTGTCTCTTGTGTGTCCCGTTTGATCAATGAGAGTGAATTCATGTGTATGTAAGTGGGGAACTGCAAGTGGAACAATAGCGTTTTTTCATCAGTGTGTACTGGTCTAAATGAACATAGGACAGAATCAGGCATTATTTGCTTTCCTGTACAAGTTTTGGGGTTTTCTTTGGTTTTAGCTGATACAGAAGGATTAGATAAAATCACAGCCTTGAGCATTTAAATGGGAGTTTTTCAGTGTCCAAGATGAAGATGCTAAAAATACCTTCATAATATGGGTTATGTTGCAAAGGGATTTCCATTTTCAGTGAAATATGTCTGCAAAAGTCACTTTTCTTTTGTAAGTGGGGAGTGAATGTGTTAAATCTTCAACTCCTACATGGATCATCTCTTAATTCCTTTGGACTGAGCCACCAGTAGTGTAGGCAGTTTGAAGGAAGTCTTCAGTACTGCATAAGAACTTGCTTGACAGGCTACAAGGCAACAAGATTTTGGATACTGCCTAGTTCTAAACATCCATTTTCTCTTTCTCCAGAGGCTGTAGAAGATGGTCACTCCTCTTCAGAAATACCAGCTTTGAACATTAACAGTGTTAAGCCGTTATGGGAGGAAAAGAGGAAAGGAACAATGGTAGCTGCACTTGGAGCATACAGGAAAGCTAGAGCTTAGAAATATTCTTTATTTTGGATCACATTAAATTCTTACTGATTTTCTGAAAATTATTTTCTGCTTTATCTTCTAATCACTTTTTTTGAAAAGATTTTTTTAAACAAGTGAGGTTGGAATGTATTGTCTTTACTGTACAAGTTCTGTTTTTAAAGAGGCCTTTTGAATCTTCTTATGTTAAATCAATGAGGACGGTATTGCAGGCATAGCAAACGGAAATGCTGTGGTGAATTCATACCAAGAAAAACCAGTGGATTGTGCATTTCTGGGTTTCAACTAATAAAATCTCTGAGGAACAATGTTGGTTTCACTTTGTCTGTTTTTTGCAATGGCTTTTATCACTTCAGTTGCAGTTACAGCAATTGTGAGTGTCAGTGCAAACAATTGAATCAGTCATGGGCATCTGCCTGCAGTTGTGTACTAATCTTCACCAATGTGTCACTATAAAACCTCACTTAAAATGAGTAGGAGGCAGATGCCATAAAGCATGTTTGTGGGACTGTCTAAGTGAATTGATTGTTTTGTTTCTAATAGCATCTTTCCCACATCCTGACCGGAATATAATCAAGATTGCTACATGCTGGACACATAATTCTTTGGACTGTAAATGTGATCTCAGTATTAACAGACCCCAAGTTTAAAGTCCCAACACTTTCAGACTAAAGAAAAGAGCAGTATGTATCTTTACAGCTGTGTTTGCCCTAGAATATGTAAACGTAGAGAATACTTCAGGCAAATGCATGTACTGGAGACAGCAACTTTTAATTTCACCTACAGCTTCTGCAATAATCTATGTGGATTTTCTATCTGCTTCATCTGAAGGGAATCTTTGAAGTGCAGATAGTTTGTTGGGGTTTTTTTTTTTCTTTTTTCTCTTTATACTCTTCAACCTTCCCACAGCTATCCTTATCATGGAGAAAAGCTGCATGGACTACTTGCTGAGCCTGCTAGTATTAAAGATTCCCAAGGTATGTTGCGTATCAGATCCCCCATAAAACAAGGTAACTGCGTGCAGTCTGAGGAAATGCTGTATACGCTCCAGTTAAAAAACAAAAACATAAAAATGCCCAATTTTTTTTTTTTAAATGTGAAGAGTAGTGCACTTCTTCACTATGGTCACAAAAATTACAACTATGCTGTCTCATTGTTAAATAATTGATGTTACATAGCAATAAACATGCTTCAGATTGAAAAAAATTAATACGGAATTAAGTAAATGAGATGTAACATCAAAAATCAGGCTTCAAATTCATCACCTTTTTGATGTCTTATCTGTAAATACATAAAGATGATATATGTAACAAAGTAATGTTTGTGAAAATTTTTATGATCAGGAGAAAAACCATGCACAGGCTCTTCTTCCTATGGTATTTAGACCTACTATCTTAACTCTTGCCTAGTCAGTAGTCTAAAAGTTTATGCACTGAACTAGAAAATCTCTTGATAAGCTTCTCTGCAAGTGACTTTCTTGGGCTTGGAATGTTTCCTTTTTTTTTTTTTTTTAAAATGATTCTCAGATGCAATGATTTGTCCATAGCAGCATCCATTCTTTATTTCTGTACCAGCATGACTGCAACATATACAGAAGGATCAATATTTTCCTTAAACTTTTCAATAAAGGCTCACCTGATCTACAGAAAACTTTCTAAACAATAACATTCTTGTATGTCTAAACTACACCATCCATCTAAAGTACAAAACATACTTTCTTGTTCAAAAGAAAAAAGAATGGTGTTCTGGTGTGAATTACTGAAATAATAGGTCTCAACAGTAAAATGGAAGGAGATAGAAGAAGACAGACAACCATTTTCTTCCTGCATATGAGCCAGACAGACATGAAGGACAACATTTACAAATGTGATCCCGTAAGAAGACTTCTAGTTAGAAGCTCATAAAACTAAAATGAAATGGTTTGGGTCATGTTTACGGTGAGAATAAAGCAGTGTTAGCTTCTTTCTGACAAACCTTTACAGAAATATATATCCTATTAATATGTTATCTTGCATAAGATGGTGTTCCTGCAACTTTCTAGAAAATTTGCAATTTGCCTTATAAATAGACATTTTTTTAATGTCTATAACATTATATAAATATAAATAGACAACATTTTAATGGCAAACACATGAATGCAAATTTAACATTTATCTGAGAAAGAACTGGATCTCTTTTATACATGTCAGAATTTCATTCAAGAACTGTTAACAGTCTACAACTGTTAAGAGAAACCATGTATAGGGTGCTGTGATTTAAAAAGTGGCAAGAATCACCCAGTCAAGGCCAGAAACTTCAGCTCTTGATTTGGTGTTGGGGACGAACTTCAATAACGCTTTTGAGATCCTGTGTTTGTCTTGTTCGTCTATTACACCCCTTGCTCCATGCAGTGGATTTAATAATCATAATTATACTCTCCATGATAACTCCCAGTCTTATGATGAATCTATTTGTGTGTAGTAACCCTTAAGCTTCACATAGTTACTGGTCAAAAGCAAAATCTTACTATTAGTAAGGAATGAAAATGGTACCTATTTGTTTCAGTTACTGTAGGCAGCTGAGTGTATTTCCTTAGTGAAAGTATGCTAGGCATTCCAGGGGCAGCTTAATTTTTTTAAACATCCTATTTTTTCTCCTTCAGATCATTCTTGAAAAGGTCAAATATACTCTTCTTTTTATCCAGCAATCTTCTGCTTGGTAAAGGTTTGCAGATTAAGCAGCCATACAGGGCCATTACTAATGCAAACACGCTCATTCTGTTGCTGGGACTAGCTGCGGGTCCATTTCGTGACTGTAACAGCTTTAACTCCAGTTGCCCATGATGTCCGTGTACCCTTCCATATCTAGATCCAATTATAGTTTGTTAGATCTAGCACATACTGCGAGGATCACCTGCAGATCTGTGCTTGATATTTTATAAACTGTACACACTGGAATAGCATGGTAGAAGCTGGATAAAGTTAGTTCTGCATGTTTTGGTGCAGAAAAGCTGGTGGTATTTTTTAGTATCGGTCTTTAATGCTTATTGGAACATAAAGATGACATTTCAGTTTCTGTTAGAAAACAGCAGTGCCTCCCATTCGTTTCCAACCTCAGTCTACTAATGCAAGTGTTTGGGCTGTAGCTTTCCTTGCCCTGCAAAATCACCAACATGTGAAATGCCATGCCAAGGAAAGTGCACAAGCTCCTGAGACAGCTTGCTAGCACGTAAGTGTCAGAGAGGCCGCTGCGAGTCTGTGACTATCCTGCTGTGCGCAATTTCAGCAGTGCCTACAGAACAGCATAAAGGCATAATTGATAATGTGAGACTCGTAGCTGCTGCACAAATGTTGGATTTATTTCCAGTGTTGCATCTTTTAAGTTGCAGTGATGTTCTGGGAATGAATGCTGGTGCTGGAACCTCTGCTGCCTCTCCATGGAGGAGACGCTATGAATGCCTCCTGTAAAAGTCAAACATTACATCAATTCTACAGCTTTCTTCACTTGAAAGACAACACCCAGCTTCTACTTTGTTTCTTTTTCCTAATGATCCAGCTAATACTGCCAAGGGATAGGGACTACTTGGCCTATGTCAGCACTTCTCGTAACACTGCAGAAAGCAGAGATTTGCACAACTAACATTTCCAAGTTCCTGTCCGATTTGAGTTACAGCTTTCCTTTCCTGAATGCAACCACTTTCTTTTTTACTGATGTCTGAAAATATTAAGTTTCTGTTTGGAGATTCTCTTATAAAACTTTTGTGATGGAAGGGCATTCTTAATTATTTGAAAAATCAGCATGTGCTTGCTCTCTTATTGCATGTCATCTTGGTAAACTGTTAACATCTGTCAAGGGTGGCTCACCCACTGACAGATTGATTGTGTCTGATCAGTACTTGCTGAATTAAATCAGCTATTCAGCAAGCCTTCAGTATCTGCTCGCTCTTCTTAAATTGCTAAGTAACTCCAGTTCCGCACATCTTAACTTAGAATTACTATACTATAGCACGTCTCAGTTGTCTCATACAAGGATTTTGGTGTTCAGCAATGAGTGATAATGAAATCCCTCACCTGGAACTAAACTTCTTTATCCTCCTTGAATCGGAGCTTCTTTATTTGCAGTCTTCCGAATGGTGTGATCTACTGGGATTCTTCCAAAAAGATTGTGATCTAGTTGGAAGATTCCTCCATTTTTAAGGTGGGTTCAAGTAGTGAAATGACCAAGGAGGGAAATATATCCCTTGTACATAGAAGACAAAACTTGCCCAGTGCCACTCACAAACAAAACATTAATGGACCCATAGCACGATCAAATTCCGCCATAGGCGTAATCTCCTTCTCCAGGTACCTGTGCTGATCCCTGCACAGGGCCTACTGCAGCAGTGTAAGAAATAAAATGGTTCTAGTTTCCAGCATCACAATTTGTTAGATCACTGAGATAAATCTGAAGTAATTGTATGATGGGTGAAAACAAGAAATTATAAAGCACTGATCAAATGTGTGCAGCATATGTCATCACAAGCACTGCTGATACATTTGTGTCTCTTCCAAGTGGACTCTATCAGCAGTATAATCATCTTCTAGACTAGTAAGACTAGTCTTTCCATGGTTCTTTAACAATGTTTTATGACACCGTGGTGCTTGATTGCATGGTTGTAACAACACTTTCATTTTAGTGACTCTTTCAGAAAAGCTGCTAAGGTAGAAAGCTTATAAGATATGTAAAATACTCTACTGAACCATACAAATGAATCTGTGGGACTCAGATGTTGCCATCTCAGATAGTCCATGAGTCAGAATAAAATCTGGTACTACCAGATTTATTATTTGTGCAAAGTGTCTACCTGAAAATGACTTTAGAAACTTCATTATACATACATTTGTTTACCTGTGATCAGCTGAATGGGAAGAGGCAGATGCCTGCATCTCAGAAGTGTAGCTGAGACAAGTATCCTGAATCATAGCAACAAAACGAAATGTCTAGCCTACACCGCACAAAATAGCACTCCTTAACGCTGCTCTGTTTGGAAGAGTTGATAT